GTATATATTTTGGAGGAAGTTTCTGACTATTAAAAAAGGAGTTTCATGGGATAGGAATCAATCTGACGCCTAATAGAAAAATGTAATTTTATTTCTTTGGTGCTGGTACCCCGTAGGAGTATTGTCTAGGATGAGTAAAGCCCAAGCAAAAAGAGCGTGACCAGCTGAGTGCACCTGACGTGGAAAGTGGGCAAGGTTCAGTGTTGGACCCTTTGCTCAAAAATAATAATAATTCAGTGTTGGACCAGGTGTGGACGCAGATGGATGATTAGCAGAGTAGACAGATTCGAGTTTTGGTCAACAGCAAACACACTGTCCTGAGCTTGTTTGCCAAGAAACTTGGCTGTTTTGGCTTTGCTAGCTAGGTAAAGAATGTGCGGATCTTAGCGTCAGTCCGAGTGGATCATCGGGGCTGTTATCCAGGCTTTGGTTAGGTGTGAACACGAATGTGTTGGTGGAATGGTTGGAAGATCCTAGTTGTGGTCAAAGAATGATTGTCCCACGTGGAATGCTCGGTTGTTTCATTGAATCGATATAAGTTTGCGGAAGGGAATTAGAGCATCTACAACGGCCGTGGAGTATCTAGTGTGCTCATATGCGCCCTACTGAGCAGTAATTTTTGTTACTCCCTCTGTTTGCTTTTATAAGTCCTTGAAGACATTTAAGACAACATGTAAAACAGCCTATTTTCAGTTGTCTAAAATGACTTATAAAAATGAACGAAGGGAGTAGAAAAAATCTACAAGTTCTGAGTTTTTTTGGTGCACGTTTTGACAAATGTTCTCAGTGCTTCATACCAAAATAATATCCTTGGAAGTCGTGGTAAAAAAAACACTCCAAAAATGCTATTTTCAAAAGCATTTTGGGGTGTTGTTTTTATTTTTTGCCATGACTTGCACGACAAATGTTCTTGATGCCAGGCCTTTGGAATCCTCATATCCTTCCAAAGGCATGTATGTCCGGCCTTTCGACACTGTGCCCGGTCGAGTGGTTTGTTTTGGAATCTCTGTCGGGCCTTTCAATGTTGTGGATGCATGTTCTCTCTGATAGATAGGGCTCTCCCCTGGCTTGTGAATCGTCAGTTGGTGATTGAGAGGGTGAATTGACTATATATTTATTTTTCTCATGCTCCAAACGGGTTGATAGAAAACCCGACCGAGTCTCCCACAATAGATGGTCTGAACCTCCATCGGGATCAGATGAGCAGAAGGAAGCCATCGCGCGCGTGGTTTGGGGGCCCGGGCCACTTGTCAGTATTGCTGGCCTGTGCCAGGCTGGTTAACTCGTGTCGGCTGGCTGTGTGCGAGGGCATGACTCGTTGTGGGGCCAAACCATGCATGTTTTCTGAACACTGCAATTGACCTTTGTTTGGCATTCTTATCTAGGTGGTTCAAGTATCTAACAAACCAATGACTCCCACCCATCTGATCACCGCATCATTCAACTTTTTTTATATTAGTGGTGTAAATAAAAAGCATCAGGTTCAGGTCAAAGACGATGGTCGTGTCAATTGCGCAACCTTTGCTTCCCTGATAGAAGTGCGATGTGAAGCAGACGACATTCAATCAACAGAGAATTCACAACTCACTCCGCCAGACCCCGCCTAATAGAACACAAGAAAGAAAAAAGGCTCAACGTTCACATTGCTTTTCTATGAATGATTGTCGAGGCAAATAGAAACGCAATATGAACACAATCATTTGCAAACAGTTGAGAAAATGATCCTTCAAATAGTTTGCTTAGCTTCCATGTTGTAGTTACAAGCAAAAGAAGTCCAACATTCACGTTGTGTTTTCTATCAATGATTGTCGAGGCAAATAGAAACGCAGTACGAACATAATCATTTGCAAATAGTTGACGAAATAATCCTTCAAATAGTTTGCTTAGCTTCCGCGCTGTAGTTGCTCTTAGCGTCACTTGGCGCAAGGGGTCATCTAGATTGATCAAGTCATGATTTCCGAGCTGCAGTTGGTCAAGTTCATAATTGACCAACCTGGTAAATCCTTAGCCAGTCATTATGTCTATGTAAAGTGGTATGATAAGTGGCATATTTTTAGTGACCAACTGATATGTATTATCATTTGTTGGTAATTCGAGTGGCACTATATGATTATGTATATGTCTTATTAGTTCAAAAATATGTAGTCAAAATAAATATGTGAAAGTGTTATGATAAAATGTAAAATGATATAAATTTTCGGGTAAACTGGTATCGTGGTTCATGGAGACCAACTGCAACACAGAGCACACCAATAACGACAGTCAGCCAAAACGTGGCGTACCTTTTGCAGTGTTTGGCCGGCCTCTCATGCCAGATTCCGAGTCCGGGATGCCTGTCTTGCATGAGCCAAGTGCGGATGTTGTATTTGCGTGCGGTGGATTCAATCATGTTTTCGGACACCCCACGTGTGTTTAGTCGGCATCGCCGAATGGTACGCCTTGAAATGTGTCGGGAAACATAGTAGAAAACAAAAAAATTCGCCCTATGAACACCCAGAAACAATATGAAGACGCATAATGGGTGTGATCAACGATCTTACCGACTCCGGGAGTGCAGCGAAAGTAGATGAGTCGGTGTAGACCGTACTTGAAGTCCCTCGAACGTCGATGACGATCCCGCGAATCGCCCACAAACGATCCGTCGAACGGAAGACCAAAAGCACGGCCTCTCCACTTGATTGCAAGCATACGGTCTTCACGATCCAGCAATGTTTTGTCGTCCAGAGCTAATCATCGCCGAAGAATTAGAGGGATGAGATTAGAACCACACGGAGCTTCTAATTTAAACTCTTAAACTATGAATAATGGAAATATAATAATGCAATATTATTGCCTCTACGTCATATTTCTAACATAATGTTATTCTACCTTTTAGAATGCACCAAGGGTATGACCAGAGAACACGTGTGTTGTATGGCGAAGGTTGCACAAGACATTCTTCAGGATCTCTACGACCCCAAACATTCTTCGGGAGTACCTTGCACAATAAAGCAAACCATGTGCTGAATGCGGTCGTGGAGTTTACCCGACAAGCAAACAAATCGATTGTAATGACAGTAAATAATCGACCATAATGACCCGAACCATCGCAATCGTGCACCTCACCCAAAAGCACACGAACTAGAGGAGAGCCTGATTAGCAAGAACATCCAACCGCGACGTCCAAAGGCCTGAAAGAAATTCCAAACTACACTATCCAGGCATGCGCAATGTCCAAAGGGCGAGCAGACAGGCAAAAGCATCCTCTCTGGACATACTGTAACGTTTAAAGGAAGTGGTATGATAATATGTAAAATGATATAAAATTCTAGGCAAAGTCTAGGAAGTTCATGGAGGCGGGGCATATTTCATCTCTATCTCATTGGTATTGACGACTTTACTGAGTTAGTTTTGGAAGTCCAGGAAGACATTCCAAAGCATCCCGTCCGGCTAGACTACCAGATCAGAATATCTAGCGCACCCAAACACAGCGGCGGACGAACAAACCAGTATCGTGTGCGCAAGGCACATGCTACACACCGGGATACCAGCCGTCCTCTGAGAGGGATAGCCGAGTGAGATCCATGAATGTCTGACCCCACATTCATCACATGGATGTGCCCGGCATAACCGGACACAACAACCGACCAGCAAACCAAATGTGCGTACCAGGAATAGATGAAGTTTGAGTTTTATGGTCCCCAACCCCGTTGGAAGGCTTGTAGTCCATTCACGGCAAACATTCCTGAAATAGTTAAGAAGAACATTTGTTGTATTAGTTGTTTCTCTTCTTGGCTACAACTGGTCTTTGCGCTCATGACTGTAGTTGGTCTCTTCACACGGTTCACTTAGCTTCCATTTTATGTTTCAAATAGTTCATTTAACTTCCAAGTCATAGTTGGTTAGTTGGTCTCCTCAAATAGTTCTCTTGACTTCCGTTTTATATTTCATATAGTTCGCTTAGCTTCTAGGCTGCAGTTGGTCCCTGCGTCAATTGGTGCAACGGGTCATCTAGTATAAGTATATGAAGTGAACATATTCAAAAGCATTAGACTCGTGGTCCGGAAGCAAATAGAGTAGAAACATGCAAATGTGAGGTAGTGGTGCTAAAGTACATGACAACATGATGGAAAAATTTGGTCATCCCAACAAAAATATACATTTGTGTAGAAGTTGTAGACGTAGACAAAACAACGCTAGAATGAGCCGCTCGAGAAAAGGCGAATCTTGAGGCTTTAAATCGCTGGGTTAGGAAGTTAGATGTACTAAAATATTTCTCATCTAGATGTACATTAACAAATCCGAGGGCACATACAAAGATTTTTCTATAGGATACCATTCCTTGAAATTCTTGTAAAATTCCTTTGTACCAAAGCAAATCGGAATGTAAGTGTTGGAACTTGAAAGCTGATTGAGTAATCTTTTGTCCTGGAATGTACTTAAAGTTTTAATCATAAATCTACACAGAAAAATATTGGATGCTACAGGAACACCTAAGCTCAGGTGCTCCGGCAACTATCCGGCCGTTGGATATGATATCCAAAGGCCATACGAGGATACACTCAACCTGGATGAGAAAATATCTAGTGCTCCCAGGCTTGGGATGCTCCCGGTCTCCTCAAGTTTATTTCATTGTCTGTGGTCTTTGGATCTCAGATCCAACGGCTGCGAAGCTCCTCGAGCACAGGAAGGTGCTCTCGTAGCCTACACAAGGAAAACTACTTTCCTAATTATTGATCAGTTCTTAATTTAATGACAGGAGCGGCCGAAAGGCTCAGCAGTCAAATGATGACTCACCAGTTGCTCAGTCAGACTCAGATCCATCCACCCCTGGCCTCCTCGCAACACAACCCCAGTTCAAAATTTGAAATCGAGCGGAGAACCCCCAAACAGCACAGCAGCAAGACCCCGTTGGCCATTACTAGTCTCCGCTACCACCCCGCTCCCCCCTCACTCCCCTCCACCCGAGCTGAGCTCCACGCCACCTCCCTCCGCCTCCCGCTCCACCCCCACCCTCCGCCATGTCCGCCCCCGGCGGCGGCGGCGGCGGCGGCCGGCGCCCCTCCGCGTCCCGCTCCTCCCGCCGCGCCGCGCCGGAGCCCAACGAGAACGACGACCTGGCGGCCGCGCCCTCCTCGTCCTCCCCCTCGGCGGCCGCCCCGCCCTTCTCGCTGCCCCCGCGGTCGCCCCTCGCGGCCATCGCCGACCCGGGCAGGAACCCGCGGTCCGCACCGGGGACGCCCAAGTCGCTGGCGAGCACCCCCAGGGCCTGCGCGCCGGCGTCTGGGGCCAGGGATCGGAGCTCCTCGATTGGCGGGGCCGCGAAGAGGGTGTTTGATCTGAGGGATCTGGCGGCCACGGAAGTGCCCGTGGAGGTGCCGCATTTTGAGCTCGACGAGGACCCCGCCTTCTGGATGGATCGCAATGTGCAGGTTGGTGTTTCTGCACAGAGTGAAATGAAGCAGTGAGCCACTGATACACAAGTACATGACCGTCCCGTGTCCAATTAAATTAGCAAACATCGCAAATAAAATGGACTATATTAATACCTTAGTATTGTGCTTTGTAAGTTATCCCCCATGATGTGTACTATACCAATTATGAGTTACTCCCTCCGGTCCTTTTTACTCCGTGTACTAGATTTGTGTCAAGTCAAACTTGACAATGGTCGACCAAATTTATACTAAAAAACATCAGCATCTACCATATCAAATATATATACTATGAAACTACATTTCATAAGGAATCTAATACTATTGATTTGATATTGTGGATGCTGGTACTTTTTTCTGTAAGTTTGGTCAAAGTAGAGATACTTTGACTTCGAACAAAACTTATATATGCGGACTAAAACGGACCGGAGTGAGTAACTGTTAATACCATGGCTACTTTTATTTTTCCGAAGCTAACAGGGCTAAATGTTGGTGCCGTTACTTTGCGAAATCTAAATGTTCCATAAATGTTGTGTGATTTACAGGTTTTGGTACGGTTAAGGCCAATCAGTGCTGCCGAGAGCACTGCGTATGGTCAAAAAAGATGTTTTATACAGGATAGCTCAAAGACATTGAGCTGGACAGGACACCCTGAAACAAAGTTCACGTTTGATCATGTCGCATGTGAAACAATATCACAGGCATGTCTGTGTGTACTGCAACTAACTTAGATTTCTTTCCAAGTAAGTCATCCTTTAGCCTAAGAAATATTCTCTACAACGATTTCAGGAAAAGCTGTTTAGGGTAGTTGGTCTACCAATGGTGGAGAACTGCATGTCTGGATACAACGGCTGTTTGTTTGCCTATGGCCAGGTAAAACTAATATGCACACTTTTGTTCCTGCAGAAGAATTCATCTGACATATAGTGCTACATATGGTTTTTACAGACAGGGAGTGGCAAAACTTACACAATGATGGGAGAGCTTAGTAAGGATGGCAATGAACTTAGCAATGATTCTGGTTTGACGCCTCGTATTTTCGAGTATCTATTCGCTCGGATAAAGGAGGTGAGGTGTTTTTATCCCAGGCTAGTACTTTGGTGAATGCTTGCCAATAGAAAGACCTAAATCATATATTATGTGAAGGAAGAGGAAAGGCGAAGAGAGGACAAATTGAAGTACATCTGCAAATGCTCTTTTCTGGAGATATACAATGAGCAGATAACTGATCTACTTGAACCATCATCAACAAATCTTCAGGTAGCATGCTTAGTACTCCCATTGTAAAGTAGTGATCTAATATCTTATATTAGTTTACAGAGGTAGTACTTGAGAATTGATAATGCATGAATGGAATGTGATGTCTCACATTTGTTCTGTCTTGTAGATCCGTGAAGATATAAAGAAAGGTGTATATGTTGAGAACCTAATGGAGTGTTATGTGTCATCTGTTAAAGATGTTATGTTGTTATTATTACAGGTGAAAGAATACCGTCTCTTCGTTCCATGTTGCATTGGATCTGAGGTTCTAAAATGAGCATGTGCTAACTTACATTAATGATTTTATTTATTTTTTTGAAATTTTCTTTTAGGGGGTTGCAAATAGGAAAATGGCAGCTACAAATATGAATAGTGAGAGCAGCCGTTCACATAGCGTCTTCACTTGCGTCATTGAGAGTCACTGGGAAAGGGATTCAATGACGCACCTCCGCTTTGGGCGTTTGAATTTGGTTGATCTTGCTGGTTCTGAGAGGTGAGTTCCAGAATAAAGGTGACAAGTTGACAACCTTTTCTTGCCTTCACAAATACTAACTGAATTCAAACTAGGCAGAAAAGCTCGGGCGCTGAAGGAGACCGCTTGAAAGAAGCTGCGAACATTAACAGATCCTTGTCAACTCTTGGGTACCTATTGCTCTCAGACAAGATTCATGAATTTTGGCACAGTTCATATTCATATTTTGTCTTGCAACATGTGAAAATAACCACATTTGCGTTACACATTGTGTATTCAGTTGTGAAAATGTTATAGTTTGGTGGTGGTATCCCTTTTTTTAAATGAAACATTTGTGGAAGTTCAGAACGTCTTCTAGCATTCATTACAAGGTTCTTTGTTATATTAGCATAGAATGTACTCCCTCCGTTCCGAATTACTTGTCGCAGGTATGGATGTATCTAGATGTATTTTAGTTCTAGATACATCCATTTCTGCGACGAGTAATTTGGAACGGAGGGAGTATTTGGGTATTAAATTGACAATTTCTTTGAAGAAGTACTGTTCATAGTGATAATCCAGCTATACCATTTCAGGCTTGTTATCATGACTCTAGTGGATGTCGCAAATGGAAAAAGCCGCCATGTGCCTTATAGAGACTCAAGGCTTACATTTCTCCTCCAGGTTCAAATTCACAATGAGTTTGAGTCTTCTATCTGTTTATGTCTATTGTCTTCTCTGGCTCATTGTATCATCTTCTCTAGGATTCCCTTGGAGGAAACTCTAAAACAACAATTGTTGCCAACATCAGCCCGTCTATTTGGTACTGATATTGTGCACCTTTATTCTTGTATTCAGTTTGTTTTCTAGATCTTAACAGTATGCTTAACATATAAATGAATTACACTATTGCAGTTCCTCCAATGAGACACTGAGTACCTTGAAGTTTGCTCAGCGCGCGAAGTTGATTCAAAACAATGTAATTCTAAGCATGTTGAAATTTTTATATAGAAAGTTTATCTTGTCGACTCATTTGGGGAGTCTTCTGTTGTGCTAGGCAAAAGTAAATGAAGATGCTTCAGGAGATGTTATGGCTTTACAAAGGCAGATAGAAGAACTAAAGGTAAGCTTTATCATGACAACTCTCTTCTTGATTATAGAAGTGCTTTGTAGTTAAGTTATTTAATTATGTTTACCAGGATCAGTTGACATGCTTGAGGAAGCAGCAAAATGCCCCTGGATCGCCTAGCTTTCTCCTGCTAAATTCAGGCTCTGATAGAGAATACAATACTTTAGCTGAAGATCATCAATCAAGCTGTGACCTGAGTCTTCTAAAGCAAAAGGTCATATAGCATGATTTACTTCATTGGAAAATAAATAATGGTGCACTATAAATTACTTGCAAGTTGCAGCCAATTATTTATACATATGTATCTAATATCAGGTTAGCCATCTGGAAGATGTTCTTGCTGGGAGCCTTAGGAGAGAGAAACTAGCTGAGGTGGATATCAGGAAGCTGGAGGCTGAAATAAAGCATTTGAATCGTCTGGTAATTCTATTGCAGATTGTTCTAGGATATTTTATATGCTTCAAAACACAGAACCTAATAATTTCTTATTATAGCAACTATTTGTGTTTTAAAATACTGAGCGGCACCAGCTTTCTGTTTTGGCAGGTTGACCTGAAGGAATCTGATTCCCAACGCTTGAGAATGATGCTGAAACTTCGTGACGAAAAATTAAAAAGATTGCATATGTTAGCTGATGATCTAGTGCCATCGGATGGCTATATGGTTGAAGAAAATGCTGCAATGTCCCAAGAGATTCAGCTACTGCAAAAACAATTTGACGAAAATCCTCAACTGACTCAGTTTGCTTTTGAAAACAAGAGATTAATCGAGCAAGTTAGAACGTAATGTTTCAATTTACTTTGAGCCCTGACAAATTTGCACACTTCGTATATTTTGCTTACATGAATAAATTGGTGATAGCTTATTCTGATGTACTCATATACAGGCTTGAGAACTTCCACAAGCAAGGGGAAAGAGAGATGTTATTAACGGAGATATCTCTTTTGCGTAATCATGTATGCTTGTTCTCCCTGAACTCCCTTTTGCTCGATCTCATTTTCTCCAGTGACGCACTCTTAACTTTGTTATATGTGTAGTTCCTTCATATTCTTGAGCAGAAGTATGCAGCACCTCCTAGGAATTTAGAAGCACAGGTGTGTTCTCACTTGGATATAATTTTACTTCCGAAAGTAACTTACCACATGGCTATGGTTATTTTTCTTCTATTTCAGAAGACGGTCAAAACCTTAGACTAAATTAACAGTAAACAATATTGTCACAAATATAAGGGAAGTTAAACTTGATTAACCACATGTCCCAAATGTAATACTGAAGAATAACCTGAATTTTTGCAAGTGGTTGATGTGCGATGCAATGCATTTAGGGTGACGAGATTGTCAAGGATCTAGACAATTGCAGGAAGGAGCTGGATGCATGCTTAGAAAATAATGTTTTGCTTGCACGGTAAGTTTTCAACTAAATCTTATCATCTCAATGCATATTTATATTTACAATAACAATGATGTGCTAGGCAACACTTTCTTCGCAAAACATGCATTATATGGTACTCTTGACTGTAAGACATTTGAGTTCTAGAAGACGAAAATGATTTAACTCTTCCATGGTGAGAAAGTGAATGGAGCTGCATATTTTCACATTCTCACATTTCTGTGAAATATAGAAAGTGCACAGTAGTAAATTTCATTAAACTCCGCCTATGTCTTCTAGGCATAGCCGGTCCCAAGCCCGGGTAAAGGAGGAGGGTTGTGATAGGCTTGGCGAGCCAACGTAAAAACTAGCCAGTCCCATAGGTATGAAACCCATTTGAGCGAGAATAGTACTAGGATGGGTGACCTCCTAGGAAGTCCTCGTGAAAGGGTTTCATATCTAAGGGTTGTGATAGGCTTGGCGAGCCAACGTAAAAACTAGCCAGTCTTTTGGGTATGAAACCCATTTGGGCGAGAGTAGTACTAGGATGGGTGACCTCCTGGGAAGTCCTCGTGAAAGGGTTTCATATCTAGCCTACCCCAACTTGTTTGGGATAAAAGGCTTCGTAAGTAAGTAAGTATGTGAAACTTGTCCTTGCCTCCATCTGTAATGAAATCCCGATGTACTCAATTGGCAGTGTCATTAATCACCCTGGGTCTGGGTCTGATTGTTTTTTCCTTCATCTATGTATGCTTCATAATTATCAGGATTGGCTTTTGATACTTATTGTACTCACGTTATGTCTGCTTGCTTTGGGTATCTTGGTAATTGATGGTTATGATTATTCATGCTGTTTGCAGTGAAGTAAATAAGCTGCGCTGTGAACTGAAACAATACCAGATGTCTAGCACGCACCAAGTATGTATGCAATTTTTGTAGCCACCAGCAATTATTTATGCTATTTGTTGTGTCCAGAATTACATACAATGTTTGGATGCACATCACCATTCAGGTTGCTCCGACGGCAGAGAAGAATTGTGGGATTCCAGAGATCAGTCAGATACAACCCGTGAGATTTTTTGCACACTTTTGATTTATACCCAGTAACTAGATATTCACTTTAACTATTTTCTTGTTTGAACTTTATATCAGGATCCAGTGGGATGGAACTTTTCATGTTTAACGCCCAATGGTGCTGGAATGTCAACTGATATTACGGAATCAGTTCAACTCAATCTTCCTTCAGAAATTGCTAGTGGACACCAGGAATCCTGTTCTCATTTGTATCATTTCGATTCAGAAAGATGTGATTTGAATGATTCTACAAAAGTGCCAGAGTGTAGTGATGAAGTGTCTCAGTGCTACAGCTTGGCTCTTGGATCTTCACATAATGTACTTGACAAAGACACTGTTCTTAGTGGACACGTAGAAGATGAAGAAACATTGCAATTACAGCAGGATGAGATGGATCAAATACATGAAAACGTACCAAATATGGGTATATGTTTGCATGGTGAGACTTCATTGTGTCATCAAGAGACTGAAATAGTGGGCTCAAGCAAACAGACATTACAGGCCGAGTTGGCGCACATTAAAAGCATAAATCAAGAGCTCAAAGAGAAGCTAGTTATTATGGTTGAAGAAAGTGCCAGGCTTGCAGAGATCATTGTGGCCAAAGATGTAGAAATTGCCTCTTTATCTGAGGAATGGGAGGTTGCAATAGTTGATCTAACAAGCTTCTTGACAGATGGCTGCAGATCACTAGACGATGCATATCAGAATATTGATAACATGATTAGTTCATTTCCTTACAGCAATAATTCTGTCAGCGAACATGTGGAGAAGGCTATGAAAGTTAGCATTGAAAAGGAAAAAATAATCTTCAGGCTTCAAATTGAGCTACAAGATGCACAGCGAATGGGCAGGGAAGTGAAAGAAAAGTTGCACATCTTAAGAGGTGCAACACTTGCTATCACTGAAGCTCAGCAATTATATAATGATGCAAGTTCTCAGGAAGCAGAACGAGTAAACCAAAAGGATTGCAATGTGGAATGGAAAAATTGTGACTTGTCAGAAGCAGCAGAGCATTCTCGTGATGAACCTCTATTCCTCGACAGCTTGAATGACACGAGTGCACAGCGGACTCGTAGTGAAGATGGATCAGCAGTCAACAAAGCTAATCCAGACTACCAGGTATGCAGTCTTTACTGTAGTTACATACACTGTACGGATGAATGCACCTGATATGAAGTGAAGATAGTCCATGATACTGTTTGTGTAGACAGCTTCATATTGTAGCTAAAACAGGAGATAACTCACCAGGATTTTCCTCATTAGTGAAATCAAGTAGGCAAGACTGTACTTTTTCCGTCAAGATTATGAAGGACCAGTATATCATTTGATTCCAAATGAGCAAGACTGTACTTTAAAATTTCAATGTCAGTTGCTCATCATAAAACTTACTGAGTCCATTGTCGAACTTACCTGTTCTCATGACCGCCTTTACTGTAACTATTTGCGAAGTACACATTACCTCGACAGTCAATTACTCTATTTTGCATATTTTGACTTGCGAATAGCAAAGCTGATGTTTAGCAGGGAGCTTCTGCACCGCTACTGATGTTTTCCTTTATTTACCTACTAAGTCGCAAACTTTGTTTCTTAAATATATCCCTCTGTCCCATAATGTAAGACACATTTTTTGACACTACACTAGTGCCAAAAAACGCCTTACATTATGGGACGGAGGGAGTAGAATTCTAGATCTACACTGAAATATATTTGAATAAAAAAATTCAGGAAATTATCTTACGATCATGTACAGGGTAATGATTGTGCTTCATGGACATGTGTTGTATCATAGTTTAATTATTCTAACTAGATACACTCATCATATCTCACATTTGGTTTTGTGACCATCCCATGAGATCAAATGCCCCACACAGAAATCTGTGCAATTTGTTCAGACAATTCTAAATCAGTAGAAGTTGATTATCATCCTTATCAGCTATCAAGATACAAAATGAATATTACATGGAACATAACCTCTGGAATCAATCCAGATACAAGAAATTTTATATGCATACCATGGATATGTCATGGCATTCTCCATGCTTTTCTTAGCGAGTTTCTTCTGGGTTATAAACAATATGACGGATAATATGATTTTTTTTCCAATAGCTTGTAGTCAAAGCTCGACGATGTGTTATGTCTCGTCGAGGATAAGTCAAATAAGGTTTTGGCCTTATTTTCAAATTTTGAGGATGCTCAAGAAACCATGAAAGAGGCTGACCTTATGCTCTCGGCTTTGTTGAAGGCCAATGAGGAGTTAAAGCTTGACAGAGATAATTGCCGCCAAGCAGTGGAATCTTTATTGGCGGAGAAAAGTTCTCTGGTCAATGAGTTGCAGGAGGTTGAAGCGTCAAGTTTTTGTACAGCACAGAGTTACAACAAATTAAATCAGCAGATGAATGAATGTACCAACGAGATGACAAACATTGCTACTCTAATGAAGGGATCTTTTCACCATTTGCAAAGGATTGCTACAATGGAACTCTTTGAACTTTGCTCTGAAATTATTAATATTGGGCAGGACTTAAAGAGGTGGATAAGTGATTCAAGATCTTATCTGGTAAACATTGAATCACTTTTAGAAGAAAGAGGCAGTTCTTTAGTTCAGCAGCTCCATCACCTTAATGTGAATGCTTATACATGCATGTGTCAACAAGTTGATTCATGTGACCTGGGTGGCAGCAATACTATGTTTCTTCATGAAACTCAAGCAATCCCTGACAACTCTAGGAAGCATATTATATCTATAACAGATATGGTGGATGAAGGAAAGGACACGTCATCCATGCATGTAGTTCCAATGGGCAGTGCTGCTGAACTGGAAGTTTTTGATGCAGACAGTGCAGACGATATGGCTGTTATTAAGGACATAATTTTCAGTATTGCTCAAAAGTGGGATATTTTCGTCAACAAAGTGTCCTGCATTAAGAATGCTGAGACATATCCAGGTGTTGCTTGTGATGAACAAAGTTATGCAAACCCTCTTGCTGCACTTGCAAAATTAGATAGCGAACAAATACACTCAGCTGTTCCACAGCAATGCAAGGAAAGCATAGAAGATCACTCAGGAGAGGAAGACAATACTGCTCTTTTGAATGATGTTCAGTGTCTCAAGCATCATTTGGCGCAGTTAATGATTCCACTGTCTAAATTTATCAATAAAGAAGACCTTATGGGGGATGGAACAGAAAATGAGAAACAGTTTGTTACTGTTCTGAATAAGGTGCAAGATAATTTGATTTTTGCTATAGATTTTTTTGGTTATCTGTTACTATCTGAGCAAGAAGGTTCTCAGAATGCACCTTTGCTTAGCAGACTCCTTAATGACATTAGTACTATTGAGAAGAAAGCTTTGACATGTCAGAAAATATGCTTACGGGATGGTGATTCTCAGGCTGGTCACAGTACAGAGTACGCATCACTAAGAAGAGACTTTGAGAGGAAAAGTGATATCGCTGAAGGATTGTCTTTTGACTTGAAATTATTGCAAGAGTCTACCTCATATGCGAAGGACATGAAAGATAAAGCTGATGAAGTGTCGAATGCCCTTAGAAAGGTTCAACGAGAACTTGAGATTAAAAATTCTGAGACAGAAGACATGTTGGCAAAACAGAAGACACTAGTGGAAGAACTGGCTGAAAATGGTGCTGCACTCATTGTTTTAAGATCAGAGTTAGAGCAATCTCAACTTTCATCATCTGCGCTATCAAAGGAGAACAATGATCTGAGAGTGATGCTGGAAGAGGAAACTGTGAAGACCAGTGAAATAGTAGCTCTGTTGGAAGACAAAGCTAAGGTCATAGAGGGATTGGAGAGTGAAATTATATTGCTTAATTCTTCTGAAGAGGGACGTCTTAGGTCAGATATTGAAGAACTAAGTAATAATATCAAAATGTTATGTAATGAAAATGGAAAGCTCAAAGCAGAGATACTCAAGTTAAATGACAAGCTTGAGATGTCAATGGCTTTAGCTGAGGAGAATGAAGCTGCTGCTATTGAAGCTCGGCAAGTAAGTGTTGTGTTACTAGCGCCCTTTGCTTTCCATCCAATTTGTATGAAGTTTCACTTGCCCTGCTTTTGTAGGCTGCAGAGATAAGTAAAATCTACGCGGAAGAGAAAGATGAGGAGGTTACAATTCTTGAACATTCTGTTGGGGAACTTGAATCTACAATAACTGTTCTTGAGGAAGAGGTAAGCTGCACATTTCTCTGGTTTGTGGTGCTCACTGTTTTGATAGATTTTTCTTTGAGATTTTGCATAAGAAATGTAATATTTTACACATGATTGCTCCGAAGATTATGGAACGACAGTAATTTTCAGAAGATAGATGGCTAAGTAATATTATACAGCCCAAAATTTTCATTTGCAATGATAGATATACATTGAGCCATTAGGGTGTAATCTTGTAAGGGTTGGTGCAAAATTAAGCAAATTGGTGAATAATTTGGCTTTAATGCGAATGGTGAGTTTCATAACATATGGGATTTTACTGAAGGTACGCAACCTTAAAGAGGAAGTAAGGAGCAACCAAGCGCACAAACAATCCGAAGCTGAATTTCAAGCAATTGAAGAGATGCTTACTGTAGAAAATGCCTCAAAATGTGATGACAATGTGGAACTGTGTCCAGGGAGATGCCAACTAAAAAAGTGAGAATTTATTCATCTGATTTTTCTTAAAAGACCTAACCAGATGTAATTGTATAATCATTTAGTCAAATGTATTTTTATGATAGGAGATTGCGAGCTGAGATTATTGCACATCAAGATACTAGAAGGAAGATTGAAGGACTCGTAATGGAAGTAAAACGTAAAGATGAGGAGGTATATGCAGGAGCGATCATACACGATTCACGGAGTTTTGTGTTTCCAAATAATCTTAACTTAGTTTCATTTACTAGAATAATCTTATACTATGTCCTTTTCATGTACATAGCTAAGGCAGTGCAAAGAGCATATAGCTGAGCTGGTCCTGCATTCAGAAGCACAATCATTGCTGTTTCAGGAGAAGGTATCAGCTGTTATATATTTGCCAACATGGTTATACAAGTATCCAACACTACACATATGCTAATAATTCTTGTCGTGCAGTATCAGGAAATGGAGCACATGGTTTCTAAACAGAACTTTGGTTCACATGAATCTAATTCTGAGGCTGTCCATACAAAAGTGGAAAAGCCTTCAGGGCGAACAAGAGGATCTGGTTCACCTTTTAGGTGCATATCTAGCATTGTTCAACAAATGAACTCTGAGAAGGATCAAGAAATCTCTTTGGGCCGCCAGCGAATTGAAGAACTTGAAGCGTTGCTTAGCGACAAACAGAAACAGGTCATACTTTTTGCTCGTCTTTTTCATCGTAGTTTAGGCAAATTAATGGGCAATGGCCAACATGTATGTTGTTGCGGTTTTTGGACTTAACAAAATTACAGCTTCTGTTATTTATTTTAGAAAATGACAGCTTCTGCTAATTAGAGAATATTGTCTCCCAATACCACATATGTCCTTAGATTACAATATGGTCAAATACACTTACTGGTTAAGAGATCTCCTGGCTAGTTGTTGAGACCATGGTTATTGTCATAAACACAAGCAAATGCTCCGTATGTAGTCCATATTGGAATCTCTAAAAAGACTTATATTTAGGAACGGAGGGAGTACTTGAATGAAATATATATAGAGCATTTTTAGATCAATTCTAGAATGTGTCCCACATTCACTGGGAGACAATGAAAACACAGCTGTGTTCTATCTGTTCATTTCTAATTTTCTAACTATAAAGAATATGAATCCAATATCCAGTGTAGAATGAAGTGCCTCAAAGGTGATGCTCATATTTTCTCCTCTGTTCATAGATATGCCTGCTTACGTCAAGACTGGCAGCAGTGGATAGCATGACACATGATGTTATAAGGGAGCTACTTGGCGTCAAATTAGACATGACAAACTATGCTGTAAGTTGTGGCAGCACCTCTACGGAGCTAATCAGCATTAGGGCTCATTGTCTACCAATCAGGTCACTTATATGAGATTTGCTGTTGTATGTTTAGAATTTGCTTGACCAAGAAGAAGTGCACAAGCTGTTAGTAGCATCCCAGGAACAAATCGAACAATCGAAGGCGAAGGTAGGTCACAACTCCACTATCAAATGTCTGTTTACATTGTCCCATCATATAGCAAGCTGACAATTCCTATCTATCTTCATCTGCATTGTCAATCAAGGACGAGGAACTTGACGTCCTCAAAGAACAATTCGGCCATCTCATTCAAGAAAGGGACAGGTGACTCTTAACCCCCTAAACCGTTTGCGCTTTTATCTTCAGTTGCAACCGTTTAATCTTGCAAGCACTGAAAGCACGCCAGAAATGACCTGATATATCGGATACATACTTTTTTTGTGCTTAAAGCTTGCTTGATGACATGGACCAAAGGAAGGCGGACCTGCTGGAGACCCAGCTGCTCGTGGAACAGCTCGAACAGCGGGAGCAGATGCTCGAGGCCCAGAACGAAATGCTACAGGTTCAGATAACTACTTCGATTGATCGAACTTCCGAAACATGCTACTGTTCTGTCCAACCCTGAACTCTGGTGTTCCTGCTGTAGATGGAGAAAGACAACCTCCAGCAGAGGATGATGGAGATGGACGAGACGATCGAGCTGCTAGAAGGCTCAAATCGAGTCAGAATAGTGAGCGCCGTTGCCTTCCAAGTTCTGGCCTGCCTCCAGCACTTTGCACTTGGTTTTCTGATCACCAAATCTTCTTGTCTTGCAGGGAGATAGCCATAGCCAGCGTTCGGCCGGCAGCGAGTTCAGCAGGAGGCTGGCGCAGTCGGACATGCTGGTGTCCCACGCGCGGCACGAGCGCTCCCGTAATAACCGCGCGGCGGCCGCAGGGAGCTCGCGGCCGCGGCACGGCAGGCACCATTGAGACGGCCTGGCTGGCCGCTGCGCAGTACATAAATTGGACCGGAACAGATCAGACACTGCTTGTGTTTGTTGATCGGCAGCGGCGGCGGCGCCACCTCTTTGGCTGTAGAGTAGGTCAAGTCAGAATGGCGATGGCTGCAAAGGAAAAAATTGTTGGTGTACGTGGTCCGAGTGTATGTAGAACCGTGACTGGTGCGATGTGTGCGTGGGTTTGTGTATATTTTTGCGCTGTATGTACGCCTGCCACATCTAACACACGGTGAGTTCCGGCTTTGGCTGGCCTCCATCAGAAGAACGAACCGCATTTCATACTGCCCAGCGCACAGCTTGAGGCAAAGATTTGTGGGAGCACGAGTTGAAGATAGATTTGTCATTTGCCTGGCTTTTGTCGTGACGGGACCTTGATGCTCCATCGTCTCCTCGTCATTCATCGGTAGAGAGATAAGAGCAACTGTGATTCATTTCGTTTGCCGTCGTCCGTTTGGGTCGGTGCCGACACAAAAGGCGGCCCAATGCGCCAACCCAAACGGACGCGTGTCTGTTTTTCGTCCATGGGTGACCCATTTTCGGCTCATTTTTGAGCCGGATTTGCGTCGGCGCGAACATGCGACGGACGCGTGCACGCTTGTCTTCTTCTTTTCCCGGGCCCCCTAGTCGGTGGCTCATTGGCCTCCCCCCTCACCCCCAGCCAACAGCAACCCTCGCTCGCCTCCTTCGTCGCCGATGCCGCCGTTCATTTTTGCCGGCGACTTTGCCAGCTGCTGCCGCCGCCCAGCAACACCGCCCACTCCCTTGTCGCCCGCTACCGCCGTCTTGCTGCTCGGGAGCAAACTGCTTCGCATCGCCGCCCCGCGGCCAAGAAGCCGCCTCACCGCCCCGGCCAGATCCTCACCAGCGCGCTCGTCGAACGCCGGCCCACTCGTCAAACGCTAGCTGGGTCTGTGCGCGCCACGACTCCCCTCGCCGGCTGCTACCTCTTGAGCATGCGTTGCTTTTCTCATGAAGAGGAAAGGGTGATGCAGCAAATCAGCGTAAGTATTTTCCTCAGTTTTTGAGAACCAAGGTATCAATCCAGTAAAAGACCACGCGCGAGTCACCTCGTACCTACACAAACAAATACTCGCAACCAACACGATAAAGGGGTTGTCAATCCCTTCATGACCACTTGCAAGAGTGAGATCTGATAGAGATAATGATAATAAGATAAATATTTTTGGTATTTTTATAATATAGATTGAAAGTAAAGATTGCAAAATAAAATAGATCGGAAACTTGTATGATGTAAAATAGACCTGGGGGCCATAGGTTTCACTAGTGGCTTCTCTTAAGATAGCATAAGTATTACGGTGAGTGAACAAATTACTGTCGAGCAATTGATAAAAAATGAATAATTATGAGAATATCTAGGTATGATCATGTATATAGGCATCACGTCCGTGACAAAATAGACCGACTACTGCCTGCATCTACTACTATTACTCCACACATCGACCGCTATCCAGCATGCATCTAGAGTATTAAGTTCATAAGAACAGAGTAACGCTTTAAGCAAGATGACATGATGTAGAGGGATAAACTTATGCAATATGATATAAACCCCATCTTTTTATCATCGATGGCAACAATACAATACGTGTCGTTTTCCTTTCTGTCACTCGGATCGAGCACCGCAAGATTGAACCCAAAGCTAAGCACTTCTCCCATTGCAAGAAAGATCAATCCAGTAGGCCAAACCAAACTGATAATTCAAAGAGACTTGCAAAGATAACCAATCATACATAAAAGAATTCAGAGAAGATTCAAATATTGTTCATAGATAATATTGATCATAAACCCACAATTCATCGAATCTCGACAAACACACCGCAAAAAAAGAGGACCTCTATGATCAATGCCCCCTTCGGTGGAGCTCCGGAAAAAGCCTCAAGATGGGATCTCTTGGGTACAGAAGGTTGCGGCAGTGGAAATAGGGTTTCGTGGTGCTCCTGGATGTTTTCAGGGTACGTAGATATATATAGGAGGAAGAAGTAGGTCGGTGGAGCCACAAAGGGCGCACGAGGGGGAGGGCGTGCCCCCTGCCTCGTGGTCGCCTCGTTGATTGCTTGACGTCCACTCCAAGTCCTCTGGATCACGTTTGTTCCAAAAATCATGCTCCTGAAGGTTTCATTCCGTTTGGACTTCGTTTGATATTCTTTTTCTGCGAAACACTGAAATAGGCAAAAAACAGCAATTTAGGCTGGGCCTCCGGTTAATAGGTTAATCCCAAAAATAATATAAAAGTGTAAAATAAGCACATTAAACATCCAAAATAGAATATATAATAGCATGGAACAATAAAAAAAATTATAGATACGTTGAAGACGTATCAGCATAACCAAGCTTAATTCCTGCTCGTCCTCGAGTAGGTAAATAATAAAAACAGAATTTTTGATGTGGAATGCTTTATAGAATATTCTTCAATATATTTTTCTCTATTGTGGCATGAATGTTCAGATCCGAAAGATTCAAGATAAAAGTTTATTGTTGACATAAAAATAGTAATACTCCAAGTATGCTAATCAAACAATTATGTCTTATCAAAATACCATAGCCAAAGAAAACTTATCCCTACAAAGTCATATAGTTTGGCCATGCTTCATTTTCGTCACACAAAATGCTCTCATCATGCACAACCCCAATGACAAGCCAACCAATTATTTCATATTTTCCTTTTCAAACTCTTTCAACTTTTACGCAATATATGAGCGCGCGCCATGGACATAGAACTATGGGTGGAATAGAATATGATGATTGAGGTTGTGTGAGAAGACAAAAGGGAGAAATTCTCACATTGACGCGGCTAATCAATGGGCTATGGAGATGCCCATCGATTGATGTCAATGCAAGGAATAGGGATTGCCATACAACGGATGCACTAGAGGTATAAAAATATGAAAGCTCATCAAAGAAACTAAGTGGGTGTGCATCCAACTCGCTTGCTCACGAAGACCTAGGGCATTTGAGGAAGCCCATCATTGAAATATACAAGCCAAGTTCTATAATGAAAAATTCCCACTAATATATGAAAGTGACAAAATAAGAGACTCTCTATCATGAAGATCATGGTGCTACTTTAAAGCACAAGTGTGGAAAAAGGATAGTAACATTGTCCCTTCTCTCTTTTTCTCTCATTATTTTTTTATTTGGGCCTTTTTTTTCTTTTGGACTCTTTTTTATCGTCTGAAGTCTCATCCCGACTTGTGGGGGAATCATAGTCTCCATCATCCTTTCCTCACTAGGACAATGCTCTAATAATGATGATCATCACACTTTTATTTTCTTACAACTCAAGAATTACAACTCGATACTTAGAACAAAATATGACTCTATGTGAATGCCTCCAGCGGTGTACCGGGATTGTGATGAATCAAGAGTGACATGTATGAAAAATTATGAACGGTGGCTTTGCCACAAATACGATGTCAACTATATGATCATGCATGGCAATATGACAATGATGAAGCGTGTCATAATAAATGAAATGATGGAAAGTTGCATGGCAATATATGTCATCGACCGCTATTACTATTACTATTACTCCTGCCTGCATCTACTACTATTACTCCACACATCGACCGCTATCCAGCATGCATCTAGAGTATTAAGTTCATAAGGACAGAGTAACACTTTAAGAAAGATGAGATGATGTAGAGGGATAAACTCATGCAATATGATATAAACCCCATCTTTTTATCCTCGATGGCAACAATACAATACATGTCGTTTCCCTTTCTGTCACTAGGATCGAGCACAGCAAGATTGAACCCAAAGCTAAGCACTTCTCCCATTGCAATAAAGATCAATCTAGTAGGCCAAACCAAACTGATAATTCGAAGAGACTTGCAAAGATAACCAATCATACATAAAAAAATTCAGAGAAGATTCAAATATTGTTCATAGATAATATTGATCATAAACCCACAATTCATCGGATCTCGACAAACACACCGCAAAAGAAGATTACATTGAATAGATCTCCAAGTGAATCGAGGATAACTTTGTATTGAGATCCAAAGAGAGAAGAAGCCATCTAGCTAATAACTATGGACCCGAAGGTCTGAGGTAAACTACTCACACATCATCGGAGGGGCCATGGAGTTGATGTAGAGGCCCTTCGTGATCAATGCCCCCTCCGATGGAGATCCGGAAAAGGCCTCAAGATGGGATCTCTTGGGTACAGAAGGTCGCGGCGGTGCAAATAGGGTTTTGTGGTGCTCCTGGATGTTTTCAGGGTACGCAGGTATATATAGGAGGAAGAAGTAGGTCGGTGGAGCCACGAGGGGCCCACGAGGGGGAGGGCGCGCCTAGGGGGGTAGGCGCGCCCCCTACCTCGTGGCCGCCTCGTTGATTGGTTGACATCCACTTCAAGTCTTCTGGATCACGTTTGTTCCAAAAATCACGCTCCTGAAGGTTTCATTCCGTTTGGACTCTGTTTGATATTCTTTTTCTGCGAAACTGAAATAGGGAAAAAACAACAATTTGGACTGGGCCTCCGATTAATAGGTTAGTCCCAAAAATAATATAAAAGTGTAAAATAAGCCCATTAAACATCCAAAACAGAATATATGATAGCATGGAACAATAAAAAATTATAGATACGTTGGAGACGTATCACCGGCCGTCTCCTTCTTCGACGCCCGCAAGTTGTTCGACAGTTTGCCAAGGTACGAAAATGGACTCCCCGACGAGTTCTTTTTCCACAATTTCCTTTGCGACTCCGACGATTCGTCGTCCGACGACGAGGAGATATTGGTTGTCGTGTTGGTCCATCACCACCTCAACAGCCAGCGGCCGTTGTTCCGTCGCTCCATTCCGGGCCACCTTCCGGCGTTGAATCGCAACCGAGAGAGCGGACATTTCCTTCTTTGGAAGGACTACTTTGATACAACAAACCCGTTGTTCAAGCATCAAGAATTCCGTCGCCGTTTCCGTATGAGTAGGCATCTTTTCAACCGTATTAGA